ATGATGAACCAAATGAAGAACAAACAGGGGCTGATGAACCAAATGAACCAAAAAAAATTCAAAAAATCAATTATATCACAAAAAAAAATCAGAAAAAAAATTATACCTCCAGGGATTCGTCGTCGGTGGGCTCGGGCAGTCAGGCTTGGTCGTAGGAAAGTTGCCACTACAAGCCTACAAGTGCTGCTCCAAGAAGTTTGAGTGTTTGACAGTGGGCTTGCTCGCCAATGCCCAATGCCAAGTGCCGAGTGCCGAGTGTCGTTGCAAGCTTGTCGTCCGCCGCTGCAAGTGCTAGTGTCTGGTGAATCTTTTCGCCGTCGGACGTCGCTACAAGTGCTTGGGTGAGGGTGACTCTTTCCGCTGTTGCAAGTTCATCGGTCGTCGTCAGTGTGTGTCGTCGTCGGATGCCAGAGTTGATGGTCGTCGCATGTGGTAGGGTGTGAGGATTGAGACTTGAGAGGACTGAGGAGTGAGGAGGGAACTTGGGAAATAACCCTAAAGGCCAAACCGAATAGGGGACTAGGATTCAAAAATCGAACTAGTTGGAATATAATTGGTATTTTATTTTTTGTTTTTTATTTAAAACATTAAAAATAAAAATATTAACCCACGAACCGTTGCCTAGGTCGAACGGTTTAGCGGTCCAATCGCCTGGGTCAGCAATTTTTTGACTTTTCAATGCTTTTTTCAAATTTCCAGTTTCTAATAAAACCATACCCAGGTGGCTGACCAGTTACTGGTTTTTCCGGTCCGGTCCGGTTTTGAAAACAGAGGTTTCATAAAATGGAAGAAACATCAACTTCGTTCCAGGGATCTCCATGGATGTTTTTTTCTAAGGTCGGCTGACTCTCTCTCCCTCTCTCTCTCTTGTCTCTTTTCCTCGTCTTCATGTTTTATTCATTTGCTTGATGTATATGTTCTACGCTACCAGCACTTCTTCATATTTCATGCAATAATTTAATCGGCAACTGTTCATTGGATGGTGTCGATCATTGTTGATTTCCTTCAACCTCTTTATGGTATTAATACGAGGTTTCCAATCTGTCACCTTCTTTGAAAAGTGAAAACCTTCCTTATTCCTATTTGTCATCTTCTTGTATTGATCCAAAATATTTGTTCTGCTTCTGGGGTCTATGATTTGTTTTATATTTCATTGCTTTTCTTACATCCGTTTTGAATCTTGCTGCTCCGGCTTTCGAGCCAGCAAGCATTTATAGTCAAGCCCTTGCGCGCTAGCGCGCTGTAGTTTTTCAGCTTGCTCTCGGGCAACAAGCAACGGATGGAGCGCTCTAGTTTGTCACTTTTTAAGCGCATACTCACTATGATTGTCAGGAATCTAGGGGTGTTTCTCCAACATTCTGTGTTTGTCTTTTTAGTTTTCTCATCTTGTGGTTCTTGGATTGTTGTATTGCTCCTCCTTCAATGCATTGACTATTTAAGATTGTTGTAGGCCTATTTGTTTGTATGGTTGTTCCTTTCATTCCTCTTTTCTGGCTTTTCTTTGAAATATTTCCTTCTTTAGGTTTGTCAGTTTAATTTTTTCTCAATCATCAGCTTTATAGCTCTGATTTTGCTTGTGAGCAACTACTCTAGTTCTAGCTGGGCTTTAGTCTTAAATTTTTATCAATAATAATTTCATTACTTCAACATAAGAATAATTACATAAAGGAAGACAAACTTTATTATCTTCCAATTACAACTTGAGCCCCCAAGAAAAGAAAAGAAAAAAGAGAAACAATAAAATTACATCTAAGCCCAAAACATTGATTCCCTCTCCACCCCTTGTGTAGCTAATCCATCAACAAAAGAATTAGCTGATCTTTTAACCCAACTAATCTTAACTTTCATCTCTCACACCAGCCACTTAAATTTCCTCCTCACATTGATGTAATTCCATAAGTCATTGTTATCTTTATTCAGCCACTCTATCACCACCTCGGAGTCCCCTTCAATTATGAGTTTTCTGATATTCATCTCCTTAGCTTTCTGGACTCCTTCTATAACTACAAAGATCTCAACTCTAAGGGAATCACCTACTCCAATTGAGCCTAAGAACAAGGCAAAAACGACCCCATTCTCATCCCTAAAAACACCCCCAATCCCTGAGTGTCCAAGATTCCCCCTACTACTCCCATCAAAGTTTAGTTTTAAGAATTCAGCAAGTGAGGGGGTCTATGACACACTCATTACTGTTTTGATCTGGGTACAGTTTGCAATGTCACTCCACTTCTTCAACAATGTCATCCACTGTGTAATTTATGAATAGCTCTAGGGATTTCAGCCACTATACAGCCCTTATATGGATTAGAGCCCTCAGTTCTTCAACACCTCTCTCTACTTCTGAGAAGATCCTGAAATTTATTTCTTCCCATACTGCAGTCCTCGGTCCTCTCTACATAGTCCTTCCCCTTTTCATATGCCACTTGAAAAAAAGAAGGGGAGAAAAGACTTTGCAAGTTTGATGGAGGGTTCCAACTACACCCAAAGAGGGATAAAGCACACTCCCAAATTGACTTTGCAAAATGGAAGACACCAATAAGTGAAAATCAGTCTCCCCATCAGCTTTGCAAAGAACACACACCAATGAGGTGACAAACAAGTATTGGGTCTCTTCTTTTAGAGCAGATCACCAGTGTTGAATCTTTATAGATAGGCTTCCCAACAAAAACTACCAACCCTAAGAGGAACTGGTCTACACCAAACCTCATTGACCGAGAAAGGAAGGGCTACAGGACTGGTGGACTAGCTTAAAACTTTGAAGAAAGAGCACAAGAGAATGAGCCAGTGGGGTTAGGGGTCCAAATTCTAGAATCCACCTTAGTATGGTTCTAAGAAAGCATTATCAAGAAGTTCAAAGAGGCTAGAAATACTATCGAGGTCTGAGTCCTCACAGCCCTTCTCAAACCCAAGCCCAGAACTGGAAGAGGAAGGGGTAATGAAAGAAGAAACTAGCTCATTTTTTAAATTAGATAGGGCATACAAAGAAAGAAACTGGTCCTTTAGGGGGCATTCCCAGCCCAAATTTGTTCCCAAAATTTAAGGAGTTACCTGAATTCAAATCGTACCTGATATGAGGGGAGAAGATTGGCAACAAATCATGAATGGCTTTCCAAGGTGAAGCACTTATGGTCCTAGCTCTAATTCTAGCATCCAAACCATTTTGCTCCAGCCCATGTATGCTTACCACTATTCTAGCCCATAGTTTCTCATATTCCAATGGGAACCTCCACAACCACTTCCCCAAAAGGGCCATATTCTTTTTTCTAATGTTCCCAAGTTCCAAACTACCATAGTTTTTACTCCTACTCACCACCTCCCAACTTACTCTATGATCCCTCTTCTCCTCTCCCGGCTCCCAAAGGAAACCTCTCATCATCCTCTCCAATTTGCTAGAAACCTTTACTAGGATTTTGAACACTGGCAGGAAATGAATGGATAAATTTGCTAGAGTGGCCTTAATCAGTATAGTCCTCCCACCAAGAAAAAGGTAGTTGTTTTTCCAAGAGACAAGTCTCTTTTCAAATCTTTCCACCACCGGATTCCAGAAGCTCTCTCTCTTAGGGTTATCACCTAATGGCAACCCTAGATAATTCAATGGCCAACCTGAGACTTCACACCCTAGCACTTCTGCACTCTCCCTAATCTCTCTCTCCTCCATATTCACACCCACTACACAACTTTTCCCAAAGTTCACCTTCAAGTTTGACATTTGTTCAAAGAATTGCATCACCAATTTCATGTTCCTGATGAACCTCACATTGCCTCCTTCACAGAACATAATCGTGTCATCAGCAAACTATAAGTAAGCAAGGGGGGTTTTCTCCCTTCCAACTCTCAAACCTCTAATGAGACCCCTAGAGTCTGCTCTGTGAATCAATTTCCCTAGAACATCAGCAATTAGTGTGAACAAGAAAAGAGATAAGGGGTCTCCTTGTCTTATACCCCTAATGGCTGGAAAGAAATCTACCACTATCCCATTCACTAGCACAAAATAATGACAATTCCAAACACACCCCATAATCCATTTGCACTATCTAGCCCCAAAACCAAATTTGGTCATAACTTTCCTCAAAAATTCCCAGTCCACCAAGTCATAAGCCTTTTCCAGATCCAACTTACAAACTACTCCCTTTTTTCTATCCTTCCTGAAATTCTCCACACTCTCATTAGCAATTAGGACTTGATTAATAACCTATCTTCTACTCACAAAAGCTCCTTGATTTTGTGTAATGATATCTGGTAGTACTTCCTTCAACCTCAAAGACAAAACCTTTACAATAATCTTGTACAGGCTAAATACCAAACTGATTGGCCTAAAATCCTTTGGATGTGATGCATCTTTCTTTTTTGGAATCAAAGCTAAAAAAGTGAAATTCACACCCGGGTTAACAACTCCTCTCCTATGAACCCATCCGGCCCTGGAACTTTTGTTCTATCCATAGAAAACACAGCCTCCTTGATCTCTTCCAAATCAAACCTTCTTTCCAACCTTCTCCTACTATCCACCCCTACATCTCTCTAGTCCATTCCTTCTACCCACACCCCTCTACTTACAGGCCTTCTTAGAATGGATTTAAAGTCTTCTACAAATGCCCCGACTATCTCCTCGTGTTGTGTTAACTCAACTCCATCCACTTCCAATTTGGAAATAAAGTTTTTCATTTTCCTTCCATCTGCCAAAGAATGAAAAAACTTGGTATTTCTATCTCCCTCTTGCAACCATTTACATCAAGATTTTTGTCTCCAACTTATTTCCTCCTTATGTAGGCAGTCATCTAACTATCTTCTCAACCATCTTTTTTGTTCCTTGTCTTCTTCTCCAAATTCTCCCATTTCTTCTTTAGAGCCAATGCTCTTAAGTTGGTCCATCAGAGCTCTCTTTTTTTCTTGTAACCCCCCAAACTCCAAAAGATTCCACTCATTGATTGTGGGCTTGAGTTGTCTTTATCCATTTGGTTGTGAGCAAGTACAAAAATTTTGTTACCGGAGGTGTATTGCCGATGGGGAAAGAAACGAGAAGATTATCATATGAAATTGCTGAAATTCTAGGTAGAGGGGGATCCTCAATAATTAGAAGAGGAGTAAGCAAGTCAAATGGTGGAAAAACCCAAGTAGCCATCAAAACTTTAAAGAGGCTTGAGATAACTCCTCCAGAAACACCAACGAGTGGATCAAGAGAGAAGAGTACAACAGGATTTGCTAGCTGGAGGAGGCAGGTTTCAATCACAAAAGCCTTACTGACAAATAAAATTCTTGTTATGAAGAAGATAGTGGAAGATGTATCTTCCCATCCCAATGTGGTCCACCTGTATGATGTCTACGAGGACCAAAATGCAATCCATCTTGTACTAGAGCTATGTTCTGGTGGTGAGATTTTTGATCGAATAGTGGATCAGGAAAAGTATTCAGAGACTGAAGCAGCAACTGTGATTCGACAAATTGTTAATGGGTTAGCTTCACTGCACAAGGCAAATATAGTCCATCGCGACTTAAAGCCAGAGAACTGTCTTTTCTTAAATGAAAGTGAGAATTCACCTTTGAAGATAACGGATTTTGGACTAAGTTCTGTAGAGGACTTCACTGATCCAGTTGTTGGGTTGTTTGGTTCAATTGATTATGTCTCACCCGAGGCCTCGACCAAAGGCAGAATATCTTCTGCAAGTGATATGTGGTCTTTGGGAGTGAAATAATCGGCATAAGCAACAAATGATTTTAAATGTAAGTTCTATGATTTTTCATTATCAACTTGATTATTCGCTAGTTTCTATGTTAAAGTTCAAATAATATTCTGGTTATCCTCTTTTAATATGGATGATTGTAGTTTAGCGTGATATTGATGAGCCTACATGATATTTTAACAGGGAGAATTCAATTTTGATGAGCCTACATGGAAGACCATTTCTTCACCAGCGAAACAATTGATTTCCAGCCTTCTTACTGTTGATCCTCATAAGAGAGCAACTGCTCAAGAGGTATGATATTCATCATTCCACATATCAAGTTTACTTGACTACAGATGATGTCCAGTGAAGCATGTAAAGCAAATATTTTGGAGGACTTGACAATTTTAAGAAATCGGTTGAAGTAGAAGAAATAACTTCCTTGTCTATCAAATATGAGTAACATTCCAATGATCTTGTTCTCTACTTATACATGAGATTTTCGATAACTACTCAGGTAATTATTACACTTCTGCATCCATGGGTCATGGGGGAATCAGCAAAACAAGAAAATATGGGCACTGAAATCATTTCTCGACTTCATTCTTTGAATGCTCGTCGTAAGTTGCGTGCAGCTGCAATTGACAGCATGTGTGGTAGTGCATTACTTGTGAGAACAAAACAGCTAAGGACCCTCTTAGGGAACCATAATCTTACTTTTGAGGAACTTGAGAAACTGATAATGCATTTCAGGAATATGTAAGTTTTCTCCTCTCACCATTATTTCATTCATTCAATATGTTAGCAAGCTTAACAGTTTTGTAGATTAGACCACCAGTACCTCAATTTTACTTGACTTCCCAAAGCAAAACAAATAAATTAACTAATGCTATCCAATTGTTGGATTGCTGAAGCCATAGATCAGCAGTTGGACACTTGTACATGTGTAGGGGCTAGGTGTAATGGTAAAATCTTGGGCCAAGTGTGAGAAATGGGTTTGAGTCTGAGAGTAGACAAATTTTCTGCTGTTCCCATCAAAAGAACCTCAACAAATGCCATAACTGTGTTTTAAAGACGGTGCAATTTAGAATTCAATCTGTTTGATCAAGAAGGGTGATTAGAGTTTTTTTTTTTTTTTTTTTGTCATCAAAAGGACAATTAGAGGTGGCCTACCAACTGTAAGAGGTCTATCTTCCTATAGCCATCCAGCTGGAGGTTAAAATATTTAATTGAATTCAAATAGCCAATGCAGTTATATAAATTAAAGCCATACAGTTTTCTGCATCGCATGATAATGCCAATGACTTGATCAAATGATTACTATATGATTTATTCTGGCCAAGTTGGTCCATACCAACAGAAATGTGAGGTATCTTATAGTGGTAAAGAAATCCTCAATGCAAGAGAAAAAAAAAATACTGAAACTGGGACTATCCTAAGATTTATATAGAAGATCCAATTCAGTTTCTAAAAGTGAATAAGATGTGCAAATGGTGAAAATGCTACTCTATCTGAATTTGAAGACGTGCTGAAAGCAATGGAGATGCCTAAACTGCTCCCCCTTGCCCCACGCATCTTTGATCTTTTTGACAACAATCATGATGGAACTGTAGACATTAGAGAGATTTTCTGTGGCTTTTCGAGCCTTAAGAGTTCACAAGGAGAAAATGCTCTTCACTCTGTTTCCAGGTAACCTTACACCCATTCTCCCTTATTCAAGATAGAGTCTATACTTGAATTAGGAAGATCTCCTGCCTATGTCACATCTTTTAGCCTGGAAGATGAAGTGATGGTGTAACTGTGCCATTCAATCCATCAAAGTTGTACCATATTGTCAGAATAAGATATTGCAAATAATCCACCAAAAAAGTCAACCTTCTACCTAAGAGATAGTAAATGCATGCAAACCCATAGTTTTAAAAGGTGGTGAGGCATGCCCAACCTACCTTACCTCAATAGCCTCATAGAACCTAGTGGATAATATGGTCTAAAATTAAAGAATACTATGGGCAACTATAATAATAATGATAATAGTAACTTAATAGTCTATGCTTTGTCTCTTAAATACCAATGGCCTTTCCTCCGCCTATTGCATCTTTAAACCAAGTTCAAATCCAATGCCCCTTTTCAGATCCCTTCATCATGTAATGAATGCAATGCATAGCTTATATGAGCTGGTTCTTTCCATGCTCTTTGATCCTGAAAGGAGTATATCTTTTGATAATTGAAACCAGCTTTGCTCTTTTCTTCTCTTAAATAGGACTAAATTTTGTAGTAAATATATTTAGAAGGTTGAAACTAATATCTTGTATAATGTGGCCAAAAATCAGATGTATGACACAGATAGGTCAGGATGTATCACCAAGGAAGAAGTAACATCCATGATGAGAGTAACCTCTCTCTCTCTCTCCCCTTGTAAACCATCTTTTGCTTTTTCAACTGATCTTGATTGGGTGAATCATTGGTTCCACTGTGAAGGCTTTGCCGGAGGAGTGCCTTCCTCCAGATATAACAGAACCCAGCAAACTGGATGAGATTTTTGATAGGATCGACATCAACAGTGATGGGAAGATCAGTTTTGAAGAGTTTAAAGCTGCTATGAAGCTAGACAGCTCCCTCCAAGATGCAGTCATGTCCTCCCTGCGCCCTGCCTAATTCTTGCTACTACTATTTTCAGTCTTCATTTCAGCCAGGGTAGGAGAAGTAATTATAACAATTATGGAGGCAAACCATACAACAACAACCGAAAGAACCTCCAAACATTCCACTCAGGTTCTTTTTTTTTGTTTTTTTTTTTAATTTAGAATATGACAAATGAGCAAGTTCAAATTAATTGGACAAACTTGGTTAGTACAAGTAGAATCAACTCATCAAGCTGTATTCCAGCTTTTATTACTAGAAATCCATGTTATGATCCATGTAAGTCATGAAAGTACTTGATGGGCGAATCAAGTGAGTTTACCTGCCAAGCCAAATGATCCTGTAGATCAGATCATTTCTAGTGAAAAACAAAGATCTTTTTAGCTTAGTTGCTTCAGAAAGATGTTCTTTTCTAGCCTAAGTTTAGTTCTAATTAAGAAATACAACAAGAACAACGTAACATTCACATAATGACACCCCCAAAACTCTCTTCTATCTAACTAGTCTAGGTTGTAACTGTCCGAGGCTTGACCCCAATTTTTCTCCAGGAAACATCTGGCATAATCAGCTTCTTGTCAACACGATCCTTGAACTTCATGGAAAAATTGAGCAATGAGTCGAGAAGAGAATCAGAAAGGAGGTGTGGTTTCAAGCCCAGCTCAATAAGCTTAGTGTGCTTGGCATTATAGTAATGCTCCTCTGCCTCCACACGAGGATTGGGCACTGATATGGTTTGCACGTCCAAACCAAGCTTTTCTCCTGCTTTTGTGACAAGGGAAGCAAGTTCATTGACAGAAAATTGCTCGGTGAACTGGTTGAAGACCCGGAACTCACCATGCTGTGCCGGGTTTGCAATAGCAAGCTCAACACACTGGACTGTATCTCTTATGTCAAGGTATCCCCGGGTCTGCAGGTACACAGTGAAAGAACTGAGAAGAAAAAGTTATGGGCAAAAAAATCCACAAGAATGATAAGAAACCATAATATCTGAAAGGGCACATTGATGATGTTCCCCCAAAATCTTGGCACTAGCTATTTGCAGAGAAATAAGGATTGGATATCTGGGTAATGCCTTTCCATTCTCATATGGTTGTTTTATGCATGGTATATTCAGGAGTCACTGGCACTCATTACATTGGTGCCACCAGAAAATTTATCATCATTATCCTTTTTTATCCCAGGACCAGATACTTGGTTCATCAAGTATTTTGTCCCTGCACTTTGTGCCCCTCCCCCTGCCGCTCCCCCCAAGGAAGTTTGGATCTCAGATGTTGGATTCATTATATCAGATGCTAAATCCTGAAGATGGTTTTTCCATGTATGGATGGAATCAAAGAAGGTGGCTTTCCTATTTTCTCCATCCCAGAACAAGTGAAATCAAAGCAAACTACTTTGTGCTGTAGTGGTAGGATATATCAATTTTACCTGGCCTCCTTTTCCATATACTGTAAGTGGGTGACCAATAGCAGCCTGAACACAGAACCTATTCAGTGCTGTTCCAAAAACACCATCATAATCAAACCTATTGCAGAGCTCTTCATGCATTTCGGTCTCATCAGTCCTCACTCCATACACCACTCCTTGGTTCAGATCAGTGGCTCGGATACCCCAAGCCTTACATGTAAAGGCTATATTATTTGAATCATGCACCTTACTGAGGTGGTAGAATGAGCTTGCTTGTTTAGGATAAGGCAAAGTATCAGTTCGTCCATTATGCGTAATCGTTATATATCCCTCTTCGATGTCAATGTTAGGAGTTCCATATTCTCCCATTGTCCCAAGCTTCACAAGATGACAATCATCATTAAATTCCTTTATGGCAAACAGAACATTGAGGGTTCCAATCACATTGTTCTTCTGTGTGAAAACAGCTCTGGACCGATCAATCATGGAGTATGGAGCTGATCGTTGTTCGCCAAAATGGACAACAGAGTCTGGCTCAAAGGATTTAAAGGTTTCTGATAGAAATTCAAAATCACAGATGTCACCTATGTAAAGTTGGATGTTTTTCCCAGTCAAAGATTCCCAACAGCGGAGACGATTATGGATGGAAGAGATTGGGGTCAGAGAGTCAAGGCCAAGCTGGTGATCAAAGAGGCGACGAACAAGGCTGTCAACAATGGCAACCTCATAATTCTTGTTGGAGAGATGGAGGGCAGTGGCCCAACCACAGTAGCCATCTCCACCAATAACCATGACCCGCTTTGGCTTGGATGATTCATTTTGGCTGTCCTGAGTGCCAGAAGTAGGTTCAGTTTGGGATTCTTGGCTCATGGATAATGTGGTAGCACAGACTGTAAGGTGTCTTAGAGGTCTTTTGCCATGTGAAACAAGCTTTTTCAATGAATATATGGATGTTCGAAATGTAAGGCCAGTAGGATGTGCAAGAGAATATTGATTGGATGTTTTCGAGTATGGTGTGGCACTGGTTGAGGTTTTAAATGAGCAAGAAGTTGAGAGTATATGTGCCATGCTGATGTTTGGATTCCAATAAAATGGTACTCAATGGTTTGTAAATACCTGCAAAAGGAAAATGTATGATTTTAGAGGTAATATGGCTATGGCAGAACTTCTGTGATATTGGAAACTATAGGTTTGATATCTAGGCATTAATATGCCAACGACCATAAAATATGAGATGTTCCAAGTTTGAAAAGGAAAAGGGATTTTATGAATGAAAGGAATTTCAACATGACAGCAGAAGAGCATCAAGAACCTGAAAGCCTAACAAATTAAATAACTGCTGCTTAAACGCCGCCATTACAAAAGTACAATTTAAAGTAGGAGAAATTCCACGTATTTGGTACTCATAAATAAAGAACATGAAAATATTACATATCATATCCTACTCACATGATTAGTAATGAAAAAAACTGACAAATAGATGAGTAGAAAATAAAAACTAAAAAGCTCTCCAGTTTGAGACTCGATGTAAAACGACAACGCCTGCTGAGAGCCTCAGATATAAGACTGTTAAAATCTTCTACGACAAAACAAGACTCATGGGTTCCCTACCAACATCCAAAATCATTGCCTTAGTCATTGAATTGAACCTTATCTTGAAAACTTGACAAACAGGAAAAACAGAAAGCCGCAATTTCTTTGTTGATTGATATTTTCATAAAATGTACTTTGATGCGATGCACCAAAGATTCTTTAATAGATGTCATCAATATAAGAAGCACATATTTTTTTCAAAATTTCAACATTGAAGACATAATTACTACAAAAGCAAGCACTTGAGCAATAGGAAGAACCAGAACAGATGGAAATGGTTTGACTGGAACCCACTACTGGGTACTGCAGTTTCAGAGAATGGAATCACAAACTCTCACCTTTAATCTCAATCCAGAGATAAAAAAATACACAAACTCTGCAATACCAGGAAAAGCAGCAGCATAGGACTGGTTAGAAAAAGAGTTCATAGGAACAAAAGTTCTGCTCTAAATTATAACATTTGTTTGAAATAATGAATAAAGCATATGTACTTGTGTAGAATTTAACGGTGAATTACACCAAAAGGCAAAAGTAGTATTTTCAGTCATTTGCAGAGAATGTGAGGTGAAATTTACATTCTCAAAAAATCCAAAACCTATTATAATCTTAACTAAAACGAACAGAAATACAGATTCGAACAAACCAAATTACAAATGATTCTTCACCTCAGCTCAAACAATCATCAAGAAATCTCCTAGAGCAAAAGAAGTTAACAAAACTGATACCTTCACAAAGATGAAGCTCAGAAATGCTTCGAGATCATCACAATACAGTGGAGAGGCAGCTTCAATCGAGTGGGAGTGAGCGGAGTTGATGGTTCTGCCTCGTTCAGCTTCTGAGATAGAGTTGTTAGAGGAAAATTTAGTTGAATAATTAAATAAAAACGATATATTATTATCCGAAAGTGGTAGAAAAGGGTTTAGAGGGATTTTGTAGCGGATATCGAGAGCATAAGAGAAAGGAGCGAGGGGGATATTCGTTGTCCGATATTTAAACCTCCCCTGTTTTTCTGACAAATTCTTAAACCTCCCTGAAATTTTACTGCTATCTTACTTGTTTGGATAAATTCAGTTACCTGTGTAAATGTTTGCCAAGTAAAATTTATTTATCCATGTTGTTTTTGTTGAAGCTTACCCATATTCTTTTGCCTCACCCACTTTCTTAGGTAAGAGGTCCATTTCTTACGCTATATTGTTGAAGCTTACCCATATTGTTTTTGTTGAAGCTTACCCATATTCTTCCTAGAATTCTGATAATCATTTCAAGTCAAACAGCTCACTATTAGAATATCAAGTGAATGTACTCCACAAGCTTTCATTCAACAATTCTCATCAACAAGGACTCTGAGAACAAGGTTCAACAATCTCATTTGTAGCCCATTTTTATGTGGTTGTGTGTCTAGAATAAAATGGTAATCTCATGCAACTATGCTGGAAATAACAACTGAGAACCAAATAATATTTTATCAGACAAGGGTCAGAACAAAAACAAAGAATTGGACAGATTTCTCATGGATGATCGAATATGGGTCTAGGACTCACGACATCATGCCAATAAAATCCACTGTTGCCAAAGGCCTACAAGGAGAATATTGTGATGCCAGCTAATACATAATCATAAAATTTGGAGGAAATGATGAATCAATTTTCATGTTTCAACAACTAAGTAATAGACAACAGAGACATGATATATAATCTGAAAACTGTTTGGTAGTTTTCATATCAAACATTTCAACCTGTTTCGTAATTCTACAAGAAGTTTCACAAGGCTCAAACAAGTTTGGCAGTATAATAACAACTAATTTGTTCTTATAAATTGGTGGGAATGAAATTTGAAATCATCATTGTCATCTTGTCCCTAGGGCGTGGTATTCAAGAGTTGTAGACAGGCAAGCCCTCAAATAACAAAATAAGAATCATATCCTAGCTTATAGTTCATTGCAAGGAAAAAAAATAAGGGGAATAAGAAGACATACAGATGGACTCAGTGGAAGCCTCTTTCACGAATCACAAAAGATTGATTTGTAATTTGAAAACTGTAAAAGTATGGGGTTCTCTCTGGCGGTGGATGTTCTTCTTGAACAGAAGGTTTGGGGAAGAAACTAATGTTTGCCCTAAGCTTGTTAGCAAAGGTATTTTCGAGTGAACAAAGTCACTCTACGATGGGAAAGTAACTTACCCACCTCTGAGGTGGGTAAGATTTTCCCAGGTAAATGGCCAAAATACTTACCCAAGGAAATCTGTATTTCCCATGGGCCCTACATGTATTTGTAAAAGAACATGGGAAAGTTGGTAAACTTTCCCACCCCAAGATAGTGGTAAACGAACGGGGCCTAATATTAATCTGATTTTATTTAGGGTAAATTGCTGAAACCTCTCCTTAAGTTTCTCATTGTTGCTGAAATTTTCTCAAAAATTTGGTAGTTGCAATCACCTCTCCTGAACTTTATGACAGTTGCAAGTAAACCCTTCAGGTAGAATCTCCTAAAAAAGAGGCATTAAAATATCCAAAATACCCATGCAATTATTTTTAACAAAATTTGTTTTTTTTTTTCAAATTTTCTCTTCATATGAATTATTGCCCCAAACCCTTCCAATCTCTTTTCTGAAATTGGTTATTTTTCAAATTTGCCTTCATATCAATCACTCAAAGGCATAGCTGCAACTTTAAATTCTCTTTGTTTTTATTATTCATAAAGTTTGTATTTTTTTTTTTTTTGTAGAAACTAGATTCAATAATAATTGTATGGGTATTTTGGACATTTTCATGCCTCTTTTTTGGAAGATTCTATCAAAGGGGTCTGCTTACAACTGTACAAGAAAGTTTGTGGGAGGCGACTTCAGTTACAAAACTTCAAGGGAGGTTTCAAGAACAATCAGAAACTTTAGGGGAGGTTTCAGAAATTTACCTTTTTATTTATTATAGGCTCAATAGTTTGGAAGGAATACAAATATAAAATGTAGAGTGAAGAAACATTTTGTATTACTAGTAATTAAGCACATGCATTGCACGTGAGAAATTTTTTTCATATTAATTACTTGAATTTTAGATATATCATAATTAAGATAAAAATTGAAAATTAACAAAAGTAACAATATGATTGAACTCAAATGCTTATAATAAATGTGCACGTGCATTGCATGTGGAAATTTTAAATTACAATAACAATTATTATTATTATTATTATTATTGTTGTTGTTGTTGTTGTTGTTGTTGTTGTTGTTGTTGTTGTTGTTATTATTATTATTATTAAATTTTGTATTCCATTCATTTTTGCTATAAATAAAAATAAATTTTATTTTAACAATTATTTTTATTTATTATGATAAATATATAACATTATAAATGTTCCCAAATATGATAGAATTATTGCTTGTGTTCTATCTTTTTTAAATATTTATTATTCAATTATGACATCATGAGTTTCTTTGAAAAGTTGGATCATTGACCCACCATCTAGATAAGAAAATAGCTTTACTTTTGGCTTTGTTTTAAATTATATATCATCTACGTTATATAAATATTTTTTACTTATTATACTTAGTTTTTATTTGACATAATTAATATATACATTTTTATATATTCTTTTGATTATTTTTATTTTTTTTATTTTCTAAAGATTTATTATTTAACTATCATATCATCGGTTAATCCATTTGACCCAAACCACTAACCCACAACACAAAAACAAAAATAATTTGATTTCTAGGGTGACACTAAATTTTATATTACATTTCCATCATTGATAATGAATATATAATATTAGAGATGTACCTAATATTTATTTTTATGAATATGTGACAATAGATATGTGCCCAATTTTTTTTCTATTTTTTGTTATTATTTATATTTTCTATTATAAAAATTTTATTATTTGACTGACATCATTTCATTTATAAGTTGATTTTAACTTTGGCATTCCATTTTCATCATTAATAAAATTACTTTACATTTCATATGTATTTTTATTTAGTATAATGAATATGCAATGTTAGAGTACGTCCAATTCTTATTTTTTGTATTATATAATTTATATATTTTAATTTTTTATTATTAAATATAGCATTATTTATTAACCATTTGACCTAAAATGGTTGAATTTCTTACCCACCATTGGGAGGGAAGAAAATAATTTTATTTTCAAATTATTTTTAAAATATTTATTTTTATAATATTAAAATTAATTTTATGAATTTAATGAGAGAATATACCTTAATATGAGATTTAATGAGAGAGAATAGGAAAATAGTTTTATTTCTAATTGGTTTTAAATTTTACATTCCATTTCCATCATTAATAAAAACATTTTTTATACTTATTATTGTTTAATGTCGAATATATGATGTTAAAAATGTTCCCAATTTTTTTAATTTCTATATTTTTGCATTTTATCTATTTTTAAATTTTATTATTTAATTGTGACAACATGAATTGGCTTATTTGACCCGAAATGGTTTAATTTCTTACCACTGTTTAGTTGAAGACACTATTTTTTTAGGTAGACTTTAAAAATATATTTTATATTATTAGAATTATTAATTTATTATGTATGAATTTAATTAATAGAATTTAATGATGATAAGAAATAAAGATGCCTTAAATATATGATTGAATGAAGTTCAATGCAAATCAATACCTTAAGTGTTGGATTTAATGAAAGGAAATTGAATGCATTGAATATCTTATAATTGTCTCTTTTTAACTCATTTAATATTAATAATTGATTACCCTTTTGCCCTCATTTTTTATCAATAAATTTAAATACGAAAGGGCAAATTTTATCCTCAAAAAATTACAGAAATATTAGTGAGACTATTCATGCTTTTTAAAGTAGTATAGATATAGATTTTGTATGTATTACATTTTTGTATTTATTCTCTTTCCAAACCAAGCGATAAGAAATTAATTCAGATTTAATTTATAATAGATGGACCTATTCCATTAAAGATGGAACCCACACCTACTTAATTTGAGAGTAGAGTTGATTAATCCACTTTCTAGATACTCTTTCTTGAGAAGATAGATAATTATTTATCTAGATAAAAAGCTTTGTAGCAAGAGCACTATCCTATAATGAAGATATTAAAATTATAACTATGCCCTTGTTATGAACGTACACATTGGACATTGTTGTTTTCTCTTTAGATTGTCCAAGTATGGCATTTTGAGGTTTAAGTTTGTACCCAACTTGGTCTGTGTTGTTCACTTGAGGAAGTGAACAATGAAACCCACTTAAATAGAGTGAATCACCTTTTTTATTGTAGAGAAAAGATCTTCAATTAGAACAACCTTTTTTGGGGATAATTCAATAAATCTCTATCCTAATAAAGTTTTTCATTGCAAAAATGGGTAGGGCAGTCAACAGGTCAAATTTTGATCAAATTTAGGTAGAACAAGTTCCGAACCAATTATTAATCGAAACAAAACGTTGATAATATAATAACTGAAATTTTAAATTTTGATAATAAACCTTAATAAAAATGATAGAAAAATACTGAATTCTTTATATGTTAATAAATTAAACATTTTTTACTAATATTATTTTATTTATTATCTATCAAATTTACTACTTCAAACATAAAACATGATAAAAATTATAAAAAATAGTATATATATATAATAAAATAATTGGTTCCAGGTCTAAATCTATTCAGGATAAACAAGAACAGGAGCTGACCCAATTAGAAAAAAAAAAAAAATCATCGAACCAGAACCGTTATAATCAATTCGATCAGTTCTCACCCAATGATAGTGCATATTTAATTTATTGGAAATATGGAGGGCTTTGGAAAGGTCAAGATGCAAGGAAGATTTTGTTTTAATTTTAAATTGCAACACCCCACTTAGATGTCACACCAACTTGATGCACCAAGAGAATGAAGAAGGGGAATCACGAGACAGTTTGAAGATGAAGAACAAGGGAATTGTGAATCCACAGAATCATAGGACTTGAGCAAACTTGTAGGGTTGTAGCTAAGAGCCGATCTATTGCGGGGTAGAGATTTGCTATCAACAAAACACTCCCAACATGCCGCTACAGTCACACATTGGGAACATTTCTTTTTTCATTCATGGAGAGATGATCCTGATGTACAGCCGCAATGGCTGGTTGGAATATTGTTGGAACCGTGTCTTGGTAGCTGATTCGAACTCATAGCCTGAAAGGGACTCTTAATACACACAGGGACCAAGTACAGACACCACTCCTCACACCAACCTTACAGCATGTATTAGTTGTACATCAGTTATATCTCCTATACTAGTGCATTTTTATTCATGAAGAGATGTTCCCAATATATGGTTGGATGTGAAAATTGGTGTGAGGAGAAATCTCCCTTCAAAATAGGAAACTCGGGTGATGGCAAGCCAGGACTTCGTTGTTGGATGCTTCAAGACTTTTCAAGCTTAGGACTCATTGGAGCTCGTTCTTCTTTGATCAAACCTTCAAAGTTCAAAGTAGATTGGCTCGAACTTAGGAGAATTTCATCCACTTAACTCAAGCAAACAGCTTTAATCTTCTCTATTGATATAGAAGATTAGCTCAAAACTTTTCCAATTAACAGTTCAAATGAATCTGACCCTCATTGGGTCAAGGTTCACTTAGAATTTCAAACTTCAAAGCGTATCAAACCAAAAACCCTAAATTTGAGCACTTTTAAATTCAAGTTAGTTGGTTAATCTTATCAATTCAAGCTTAATGGCTATAATTGTCGAGGAGACAAGAAAAACGCATGTAATGGACTGAGTAAATGCGGAGAGTGCCCACTCACGATGGGGATATATATATATATATACTAGGTCCCTAGCCATTCGACAACTTAATTTGTCACATAATGACACAACTACTACCAGAACTCAAGTGCCATGCAGTTGTAGTGGATCTAGAGATTTGGAATGGAAGAAAATAGTTGATGGATGAACTGAAAAGTATATACAGGCTCAATGTAGATTTCTGAATTCCACTGCAGAGTTATAAATATTCAAAATGTCAAAAATCGCCTAATCTATATATCAATATCCGCCCGTAAATTGGCATCAATTCTGATTTGGCACCTACCTCAACTGTACTTTGGGCCTAGAAATTCTGACCCTGGGCTGAACCATCATTCTCCCATGGATGAAGACTGGTGTGGATTTGCCATCCTATGAAAGACTATCATGAATGGTGCTCTTTAGTTTCCTCAAGAGAGAGATGGGGGGCAGAATACATTTCTAGAAGGATAACTGGTTAGATGATCTAACTCTGGAGGGAAGTTTTCCTCTTTTATTTTAGTGGCTGAAAACAAAGAGGCAACAATAGCCGAATCCTTCAAGCTGATTAGAGGAGAAGTAGTTTGGAACCCCAGATTCTGTAGAGCTTTTCAGGACTGAGAGGTGGTGGAGGTAGTGAATCTTCTAAACTGCCTCAACATTCTTTTAATCCTCAGTGAAGTGATCAATGGACCTGGAAATGGAGGGCTAATGGGAAGTTTTCGGTTAATCCTTTGTGGATGGTTTAACAGTTAGAAGGGAGTCAGGTTTTCCATCTAATCAAGTTTGGATTCCCTCCCAAGTCAATTTCTTAGTTTGGGCTTTAGGTTGGAGGAAATGTCTAACAAGTAACAAGAAGCAACATGGTAAGAAGAGGAATATACTTAGAAGACCTGAGCTGTGGGATCTATGGGCACGAGGAGGAATCCATTGACCGCCATCTATGTATTCATTGCAGTGGGCATTAGTTGGGTGATGCCAGGCATGGTTTTCAAAACCTGACCGAACCGGACAGTTGGACCGAAAAAACCGGTTCGATCACCGGGCACTGTTACAAAGCTGGTATCTCCTGGGCTTATCTAAAAGAGACAAACTCATTGGGAGGACTATTCCAGCAGCAGTGATTAGCACCATTTGGTCAGAAAGGAATAACCGAGTCTTTAGAAAATAATTTATCAACATTTTATTGTTGCTAGGATAGCTTCTTGGTTATCAGTCCTGCCTGAGTTTAGTAATCAGAACATGTTTTTGATTCTAAATTCAGTTAGTCTATGGGACACTTAAAGCTGTATCTTCTGGGGAGGATTGTCCTGGTACCTCCCCCATTGTATGTTTTATTTTAGGAATAAATTACCTTCCCTTTTTCAAAAAACAAAATGCCCTCAAAGGCCAAATACAAAAGTATTTGGCAAATTTGATCAATTTTTTATAATATTGATATGTTATTCTATTTATATTTTATCAAAAATTATAATTATTTCTTTTAGTTCATAAATTGGTGGATCCCACGATCAACTGTCATGAGTGAACGTGTGAATGGAGTTGCCATTCTCACCTACACCTACAGTAGACATGCTTTCATATGTATTTAGTACAAAATATTTGAGGAAATTTTTTTTTCATTTGGTATTATGAGTTATCTTCGAGTTTAGAACTTTAGATTGCTTTGTTTCGTTTAAAGCCGACCAAATAATTAGATCTTCTCAAATTTTGGAGTATTATAACAAATATATTTTTAAAGCAAGGTTCCAGGTTTTGATGTATCAGTTTTAAGGGTCACCAAAACAGGAAACAGTGGAGCTTGGCTTTTTTAGGGTCACACCGTACATATAATGCATTATGTATGTCACTCGGCACCAAAGTTCGAAATTTCGATAAATATTTTTTTTTTTTGAAAAAAAAAGGCGAGTTATACAAGCCTCGGAGTACTTCTTCCCCTTACATTCGCATCACAAATAAAATTAAAATCATGTCTTAAATTAATTACTATCCTCTCAATTATTAAGAGCTTTACGAGTTAACCAATCAGCCAATTGATTCACTTCCCGATACGCAGTATGCTTAAATCTGATATTTAGGTTAAAAAACTCAACAAAGTTTTGACATTCCCTAATGATACTAGCTAATCTCCACAAGGGTGAGACTTGACCATTGAGACAATCTATAACCAGTATATTGTCTCCTTCGATGGTGATTTGTTGGTCCCTGAAATTAATCGCGATGTTGATAGCCTCCCATGCAGCCCACATTTCCGCAAGGTTGATCGTCGTGATACCAATCCCAATCGCTTTGGTCTCGAGGACGTAACCTTGATTGTTCCTAGCAACACACCCAATGGCACAATTGCCATTAATCAAACAGGAAGCATCAAAATTGATTTTGATGCAATCAGTTTTGGGCCTATACCACTTAACAAGATTTAAACTTTTACCGTTAGTGATACCCACGCAAAAAGAAACTTCTTTAATTTCATTCCGGTAAGCAAAAGCTCTGCCAATGATATTCTCTGCATTATTAAAACCTCTATTAAAACATTTATTATTTCTATTCTTCCTTATGAACCAAGAAACACTTGCAAATTTTTCTCTAAAGAAATTATCCCTAGAATAACCATTTGGCTTGTTTAGTAAAGACCACCACTGCCTAACCGACGAGAAAGAGTTTGCAGGAATCGGAAATTCCTCATCTATTCTGCTCCAGATTTGTTTAGAGCTTTCACATTTAATAAACAGGTGATCAAAATCCCCTACCTCCCCACAAAAGACACAAGCTGGATCAATCCCAAGACCCCTGACTATAAGATTATTTTTCGTGAGAAGTCTATTATTTAATAAGAGAAATTTTAATTTTTGGAGAGAGCATGAGTTTCCAAAAATTTATTTGATAGTTGATTGTAAGACACTCACCCAAGGTTCAAAATATCGATACGCCGGTATGGACATATCGAGCGAATCGATACTCCTTTTGGTAGTTTTTTTTTTTTGCCAACTGGTTCAAGGGAGCCAGTTTAGGTCTTCGCCACACCCTGAACCGGTCAGACCACCAATACACCTACTGTAGGGGCATATCGGTGGGATGCTGGAACGATACGTATGGGGAATCAAACCATATTAGGAGCTTACCTAGTTCGGGGTAAACAGGCCTTAAACCGACCCCTCTGAAGCAGGTTGAAAAGAAAAAACTAAAAAAAGAATGAGGGAGCAACAAAGTCCAATACGCCCCACCTAGCTCGGCACAAATTCCAGCAAATATCAAAACCTAGATCATTTCAACTCTCACTGATATTTGCATTTTGCATGAATGATTGAATCTTACCATTGGTTTCATTCCATAACAAAGTTAAATGGAAAAGCTGTTCTTCCTTTTATTCCTCTTTTTCAGCTTTCAGTGTTACTATTGACTAGATAGTTTTAGAGAAGAATCAATGGGGTTCAACCGTTCAAGGACAAGGACAACAGTGAACCTACACTTTTAACAAGGAGATCAAGAAATTAAACTTTTAACAACGCCACAAGTTGACAGAATCACAAACTTGGGCCCCAAGTTCGAAATTCAATCCCTTTGTTCTTTTTTTTTCTCGCTTTTTTCAGCTTCAGTTTATTATGAGCTACATACTTTTTCCATTAATTGATAGAGAAGAAACAATGGTTCAAGGACAGAAGTGAAATAAAACTTCAACAATGCCACAAGTTGACAGAACCCCCCAAACTTGGGCCTCAAGTTCGAAATTCAATCCCTTAAGGCTCCATCAGGGTACCGTAAAACTATAGCAACATAGATAGCTATTAGCAACTCCAATTATGACTAGCACCGGCAACCAGTTTCATATCCTACTATGGTACAAAATATGTGGCAACTTCCATTCCACTCGTAAAGTAGCCATTAATAGGAAAGCATGAAACGAATGATCCCTTGTCATTGCAGACATCTAACATTCTCGGGAAGCTGAGCGTTGTTCCTACAAACTCCGGTAGTCTATCACAGTGACCTCATCTTCTGGGGCATCCAAGTCCTGATAACTGCATCCAATTGAATGCAAATATCAGTCGCACATTGTAAAGAGAAGTTTGAATCTAGCATAATGCTAACATGTAATGTATGAGAGCATGGCCAATCGAGAGGTTCATTTGGCATTAGTTCGTATTTTTTTGCCAAAACTAACGGTGATTATTGAACCTCCAACACTGGTCGCAGCAGATACAAACTCTACCAATGCAAGTGGCAGACAAAAAATTTTACTTGTTACAAATATGTATAAAAGCAAATGCATATGTCACCAACATGAAAGAAGCCCTTGCATGTGTGTTTCAACGACCACCATATAGAACTTATTTACCCAACAACAACAACAACAAAAATTGTCATATACCCATGAAACTTCATAAACAAAGTAAGAAATTATGACCAAACATCCATAAGCAATATAACACTAGATGTTTTGCTATATGCCAAGACAAGAATGAATCACGACCAAAAATCTCAAAAACTTTTTAAAAGCTACAGTTAGGCCCAACCTAGCTGTTACATTTAAGACTCCGATCTTTTTAACACAACAAGCAAGGCAATAAATGAGGTTTCCATGCCTAGGTGTGTGATGGAGATCATCCCTTTAAACATAGCTATATCAGATGCTTCTAGGAGTGGGACAAATGGTTTACAAAACCAATGTACTGTAAATGTCCTAGCCAAAAGTTATAGTGTGAAGGATAGACAGATCCTAAGGCTGCGTTTGGAAACGATGCACATAAGTGTGAATGCAAATATGTAGAGTGTAAAACAGTTCATATAAATTGCAAAGTTGGGTTAGTTTTGCACCGACAAATTTACCTTCTTACCAAACATACTTTTAGCTGTAAAGGATGCAAACATGAATTTCAATAAAGCATATGCATTTTTTATCAAAAGCCCACTTGAATGCAAACTTACTTCTTTTTTATTGTTGTACTTTTACATCTTATTATCAATGTAAATATGCATTGGTCTGTCATTTGTCAATGCATAAATATAATGTTGCCAAACACAGGCAAAAGTGAACCAGAGTGCAAATTTACCCTGAACCGGGATTTACACTCCATTTGCATCGTTTCCAAACGCAGCCTAAGGCATGAGGGGTAGGTCTGGAGAGAGAAGTAATACATCCAACCACTCCAGCTCCAAGACATGAAAGTTGTAGTAATAATCAAAAAGAGGAAGGCATTTTTATTGATACTGACTTGAGTATGTTGCAATCTGGAAATCAGATTCCTTGGATGGAAGAAGTATAAAAGTTGGGAGAAGACAAATTCCAAAAGAGAATGATGATTACCTTATAAGAAATCAGTTTCTTTGGTCAGTTTCTTCATTTCTATTTTTTATTCATTTATTCATGGACAGAGGAGGTTGGTTTAATTCAAGGGCCTACAAATATTTTCATTCAATGCAGCAAGGGGATGAGAAATCAAGTTGGGACGTAAAATGGGAGGATGGCATAATTTGCAATGTAGTTGTGGCAATTGAAAGGAAGAAGCTGGAAAGTGCTACCAAATAGAGTGGAAAGTAGGATGAGGGTAGAGCTTCACCAAAGAGAAAACCTAGGGCAAAGAGGAAAAGTTTGTCTGTATGTGATGTGTCTAGAAGGGGGTGAGGCTTGCTGAAACTTGAAAGTCAACAGGAAGTCAGTTCGATTTGGTTACTAGTTTTGGCAGCTCCCTATTTTTTTGGTAATAAAAGAAAATTTTATTAAAATAAAAAAGAGAGTACAGAGGAAGGTGACCAGCAGGCACCTGAGAGAAAAGAACTACATCTCCAAAAAGGCCAAGACCACCCACCAAAACTCAAAACAACCCACCATATGCCAAAAAACACCACCACTAAGCAAAAGCAAGACAAACAAAATTGTACAACAATAGAACAAAAAAGGTCCCTCTCTCCATAAGCTTAATTAGAGACCTCTTTGCTTCTGTTAAAACTTTCTTTGACTTTCTCACCTTCTTTGCATGACCAATTCCAAACCCCCTTTCAGTCTTGCAAACACTTTTTAGACCTGGACTATTTGATGAGTTCTCCCTCTGTTGAATCTTCTAATAGCATTAGGTTTCTTCTTCAAGACCCTCAGTGCCTTTTGACCATCATTAATTATTTATTTCATTACAGTTCCAACACCACATTTCTCTCAAAAAACTGATCTTGTGCCAGCTCTCCTCTCCTCTACAATCTCCTTTAATCAGATCTAACTTTTTTTTATCAAACTGTGATCTTGAGTTGGCATCATTCTCTTCGGCACCCAAGCGAAGATCTCATTTATTCTGCAAAGGTATTGGATGTCTTTCTTGCAAATCTTTAGACATTTTCTTAGCAAAATCCTCCCCTCCAAGCATATTTGTCAAGGCGACACCTAGGCGGGCGCCTAGGTGTGTAGGCGCTTTTTGGTCTCACCTCGCCGAAATGCCATATGATATATATTATATATAACCTATTGTAAGCTTTGTATATTTAATAATTTTTTATATTCCAAGTCTATAATATAAATATAGACATGATGCACTGAATCATTATTTTTATTTATTTCATAAGATAATAAGTTTTTTATTAATTTCTTATCTCATCAAGGACCTCAAGGTTTCTGATAAATAATATTTGAAGATGAGTTTGAGAGGTATGATAGAAGGTATGCTTTTTGTTCTTCTTTCTGGAGAAAAAACAGGGGCTCCGCCCCTTCTTCATTTTTCGTTTTGGAACAAACAGGGGCTCCGCCCCTTCTTCATTTTTCGTTTTGGAACAAACAGGGGCTACGCCAATTTTCTTTTTCTTTTTCTGAACAAAAATAGAGGCTCCGCCCCTCCTCCTTTCTCTTCCACTTCTTTGTGGAACAAAAACATCAGTGGACTAGAACACTTTTTCTTTTTCTTTAAACAAAAACACTCCTTCTGGAACAAAAAAACAGGGATCTGCCCCTTTGTTTTCTTTTTCTGGAAAAAAAGATTCATCTTCATCGTTTTTTGAACTAAAACAGGGGTGTCTTGTCCATGATTTGTGAGGTTTTTATTTCATGTTTTCTTTCTTCCAAGACAAGAAAATAGGGTCTCTTCCATCTGTTACTTCTATTGAAATGGAGAAAATAGGGGTGCATCCCCCTTTTTTCTTTTTCTTTTTTTGACATTAAGTAATGCCTAGGCGACCAGGCGACAAAGCGTTCCCCTGTCGCCTAGGTTCGCCTTGGCGCCTTGAAAACTATGCCTCCAAGAATAAGTAGCCTCAATGCTTTACTTACTTCCACTTTGGTTTCCACCACCTTTTCCAGATTGACTGTCACCACAATTCTCTCCCCTCTCTCTCTTAAACTCCCCACTTTCTTCCCATTCCATTTTTGATGTGCTACTGGAGTTTCAGGAGTTTTCTGGGCTATAGGTTGGTTGCAATGGCATTTCATCTGAACTGTTCACCTAAAAAAGTTTGGGTAATGGTCCAATATCGCTCAAGTGATAGATTGACTGACCAAGAGGGTGTTTGGTGTCATTGTTGTTTCTACCTGAAATGTTTTGTGTTAATCAATACAAATTGGTGAGAGATATGAGTTGTCCATCACATATTACAGTTACTTCAGCTAAACCAATTAGACTTCACCCCCCCCCTCCCCCAGGAACAAGAAGCATCAATTTAGTATTTCTATAAACAGCCTCCTACAACTGCATTTTAAAGTATGCCTGTTTAACTATAAACAGCCGCAAATAACTTGAATGCTAATTTGTATTGCTCAATCCAAAACATTTCAGGTAGGAACAACAATGGTTCCAAACACCCTCCAAGTCATCCAATTATAATGGGGTCCACCAATAAGTCTACACTATGGATGACCAGAAAGTGGAAACAACTAGGAACTAAGAAAATGATGTCCAGAGTCCAACTCATTTAAGAAATAATAAAGTACTAATTTCATAAAACTAACAATGGCATTATCGACTTTAAAAAAAAAAACAGTATAAAATAATAAAACATTAATGGTAGTTGTGGTGGTGATGACACACAAATCAAGAACAGAACTATCCGGTAACACCAAGTTAAAATAATAATTTTATTAACATGTAAATGTAATAGACATGATCAATTACCTTCGTATGCGTCGAGGATCTTGTCGAAAAGCCGGAGAAACAGCAAGTAACGGGCCTGGACCACCAATTTGAGGGCCAGGCCGCCCTTTCCTACCACTGCCTTCGTAAGGAGATGGCCCCCCCTGCTCTCTCAACATCCGCATAGCAACTTCAGGTGGGGCTGGAACAAAAGGTCCTAGAGGACTGGCAATAATTTCCCAAACATGGTAAGGTTTAAAAGAAATGGTGAACAAGATATGAGATGAATAACTACACTCCATAAACAGAAACAAATAGAAACCAAAAAGCAAACCTACCCAGCACCCGGAACAGGCATTAATACTGGAGGAGGAGGGGGCATATCTGAGGGAAATGATGGTGCAGTACGCATGCCTTGTGCACCAAAGGTATCAAACATTGGCTCATCAGGGTTTCCCCCTTCCATTCCACCAGTAGACTGGAAATCACGAGATGGTGAATTTTCAGATCTATCATATCTTTCATCATCACCTCTGTCTGCCCTGTCATGCTCCCTCCGGCTTCCCCGATCATCTCTGAATCGGTTATCTGAACCAGTTCTACGCCTCTGCAGCTTGTCCTTCTACCACAACAGGAATTGGATTGTCAGTTAAGGCAAATGAAAAATGTCATGACATCTTCTAGCTGAATCTAACAAAATAATAGTGATACAAGAACAGAAACCAATAATATAAAGCATAGATACATGACAGCAAAGGCAAATCAAAGGAGCCAACAAATAATCACCACCACTTCAGAATAAGTTGGTTGTCTTGGGACTGCATTGGCCTGTCCTAGACAAAGATTTAACTGCCACCCTTGAAAAAACATTCGACAAAGAAGTGTAAACTGCAATTTTTGAGATGGATGCATATAAAGCACCAAGTCCATATGGTTTCACAATTGCCTACTTTCAAAAATGTTTGAATATTATGAAATCCGGACTAGTGGGAGATTTTAAGGAATTTCATGAGAGGGGTATCGTAGTTATTGGAGCCAATGCTATTTTATATCACTTATTCCCAAGTTCCCACTTGCTTCTTGACCCCAGGATTTTATACCCATCAGCCTAATAAAGTCTATAAATTATAGCAAATGTCTTACCACTGAGATTGAAGCATGTGCTACCCCTCTCATGAAATTCCTTAGTTATTGGAGGAGTGCCGTAGTTATTGGAGACAATTCTACTTTTATATCACTTAACATAAAAGGATTGATTTGGAAAGGATTGATTTGGCATATTTTCCAAATCAATCCTTGTATTGGCCCTCAAAGAGAGCCAATGCTACTTTTATATCACTTAACATTCCAACTTATGATCTTCATTATCTTGTATTTTAAAGGATCCCTTGAATACCAATCTATCTCAACTCTCAAGTCCCTTCTGCCTTCTACTTCTCCATTTCTGTCACAAGTAGCATTGGAGGTTTTCAACTTCAGTTTTCCTCTTTATACTGCTTTTGACTCCCCCTTTTTGGATTCCAGGCATAACTCTAGCTTTCTTTGGACTCTTATTTCCTTTGGAATTATCCATATTCTTAGGTTGCAATCCTAATTTCATTTAAACTTCCTTAATTGCTCCTCAGTTCAAATTCCAACTTGATCTGGATTATTTTCTGGTTCCTCATTACCAACTCCCACTCCCCCAAACTTTTCCCTATCTTCATCTCCCAACACCAACACCCCAAATCTTTCCATCACTACTCAAGATGTATTCCCCATATTCTTCTACTTTGGTTGGCCTTGTTTATGTCCCCACTAAAGCAAACTAAGCATGATCTTGTTCAGCCGTTTTCTTGTTAATAAAACAAGGCTTTTAGTTACCAACCAAAAAAGAAATAATAAGTATACAAAGATAATCACAATGAAATAGCATCATAAACAACCTTCAATCATAATCAGCAGCATTTTCTTGCAGATCATACACATAGAATAAGACCTCTTTGTTGTCAATTATAAACAAGGAGAGACATACACGAGCAATAAGAATAGATCTGACAAACACAAAAAAAAGGAAATTCCAATGACAAAATCAAAGGATAGAGCACAATCTCCTTCATGAACAACAGCTAGCACAATCTCCTTTCTGAACATACATACCTTCTAACAAGATTAAATGAATCATGAGTATCTTGGTTTCAGTTTATATTAACCATCCAAAAGCGCAAAATAGCAAGGGATTAAAGAAATCAAACCATAAATGATCACTCTAAAGAAAGGCCAGCATGGGGAAAGAACGAGAACAAAAAGGAGCATTAGGACATTGATCGCATGCCCCAAATTTTACATTATATACTGTTTCATTTTGGGAATCAAAGAGATTCAGCTCAAGAGTTCAAGAAAAAAACTAGAGTCTAAAGATAAATCGCACATCCAAAAGTATAGGTTATCACATGTATTTAATGTGTGTGTGTGTGCATGCATGCATTATAGGTCCAAAGAATCATACCGGAAGAGGTTGCTGCATGACAGGTGTCCCACCAGGTGCATCGGGATCGCTGCAAAAAGTAATAATATATTAATCATTGTATCATAGAAATGACCATATGCACAGACATTGATAAAAAGAAAAAGAAAAGCTGTTAAGCCCTTACTTCATGTAATTTTGGAAATATAAATCTTCACGCACTTTTGAAGTTAGCTCCATAACCAGGTCTGGATGTTTCAACCTCAGATGCTTATGAACAAATTCAGCAGCATGGAAGAGCTTTGTGCAACCCTTGGCTCCACAACCATACTTCCACCCATACTTTTCATCTCTTATCTTCCTGACATATGGATCTAAAGCTTCAACAGCAGCTGCATCAATCTTCTCCTTGGCAGTCATTATTTCCAAAGGATCTTGACTCCTCAATCTCCCTTGCCAAAATGAGTCAAGTTTCTTCTCCCAATCAGATGCATTTGTATTTGTTTCATCATAGCTCTTGCCCTCTGCCCTCACATGCCGAAGACCCTTGGCATCATTTGTCTCAATCATGCCATAGTAATCCACACCATGAATTCGCCAGAGGTAAGTAATAAGTGTATCTAATAACTCAATCCCCTCAAGGCCCTTTACAGAGGTTAAACCCCGCACAATTATAATCGGCCCTCCATGGGATTTCTCACCATCCATTTTATCATGATCACTGCTTCCAAGAATGTTTTCCTCAATCCCTTTTTCTGTGTCAAGCTTACGAACAAGAGCCTGTGCTTGTTCAATATCAACTTGAATTCGTCTAAGTTCAGAACTGATTGGGTGAGCCTTAGGAGCAGCTGAAAGAAGATCATTTTCTTTAACCGGTCCCCTACCATGTCTTCTTCTTTTGCCACCACCATCTGCTTCATCTTCAGAGTTGGGATCACTAGCTTGACCTGATTTGTTTGATGATAAGGCATTGATGCCAGGTCCTCTGAATATTTTATTAAAAAAACAAGGAAATGGAGTCAACAGAATGACTTGGATGCTTAACCAAAGCAAGGAAAAAACGAGGACCAAACTTACAGGTCCAATGTTCCACTTTGTAGGTCTAGCAAAAAGTCCTTTGAAATTTTTCGAGCATTTTCATTCCTCCTATAAAGAAAATGTAACAGAAACAAAACAAGAAAATTTAATTCAACTACATACATATGTATGTATACAAGAAAGAATTGATTCTCCATAAATTTTTTATTCATAACTAGCAGTACTTGGTATTTCAAAACAGGAAACAGCTTAGGAACTAAAAAAATTTCATTTACTGGCTCATGAACTTTTACCATTTTAGGCTCATTGTCAGTTATTATATTAAACACAAAATAAGTAGAACAAACCTTTCAATGACTGACAGCAAATTTGTTGGATGATACTTGTCTCTCAGCCTATGTCCATAAGAAAATCCAATTAGGAAGATGGAAATTAGGAAAGACATGGAGGAAAATACAAAATGGAACTGTTAAACTAACAATACCATTCCTCATCTTTATGTGCATCAAAAAATGTACGCTTCTGGGTCGAAATATACTCTGATCTATACTCTTGATACCTATATTATGAAAGACATATCAGCAGAATATGTTAGCATATTAGTCATGTCCAACTATAGCATTCAGGAATCAGTAATCCTTTGACAACATTAGGTACCTGCGTTCAGCTTCAGCTGGTAGTATATCATCTTCAAGCTCTTGAATGAATTGCTTATAAGTCATCAAGCCTTCTCTGAAACAATTTACACCATGTAATATTACAATATTGTTATGAGAAAATAACTCTAGGAAAGCAAGTACCATGGAATAAATGAAATGAAGAAAGAACAAGATGGAAAGAAAATAGCAAAATACGAAAAAGGTGGGAAAAGATATCCTTAAAAGGAATATACTAAAAGGGCAAGTTAATGCCCTGAAAATACTTAAACATTTTTGGTTTCTACTGCAGAAAATGTCACCATGTGAAGAGAAAATCAAAAGAGGTACTCTGAAGCAAAAGAAGTAGGTAAAAAGAGGTGTCTAAATAGTTGGATTTTTTTCTTAAAGTAAATTATGATGTTATCAGTTAAATGGCAAATTCCATATAATCTTTAAGAGTTTAAGTAGGATGTAGGAGAAATGTACTATAGCTTCTTTCTGATTATATCATTCGCCCTTACTTTTTTTATCGATAATCGCCCTTACTATTTTCTACACATTCAAATTTCCCCCTGCCAGTCTGCCCTGGTACACCACACGGTAGGCTTTCCCATGTGACCCCTTGCCCAAGCTTAAGAGACTGAATACTACTTGCTGCTGTAGACATCCACCAGAATTAGCAGTATAGGCTGGTGGCCAATGTGCTGCTCTTACCAAAAACCTTAAGGTCCAAGGCATTTCTTCCCTAGATCAAATCTAGTTTATGACAACTTGAAAGTCCACTTCTACTAATTCAGGACTTCAAGTATGATTATTGATATTAAGTATTAATTGAAATCAAACAAATTAGTGTACACTACAACTCCCACAGAAAATTTGGGTAAATGGTGGAAAAGAAGGGTATAACCAAAAAGGAAACACGCTCAAAGGAGGAAATAAAAATATAGGCATTGACAAAAACTAACCCTTTTATATATCTATACTACTTTAAAAAGTACGAATAGGCTCAAGAATATTTCTGGAATTTTGTGACGACAAAATTTACCCTTCTATATTTAAATTTATTGATAAAAAATGATGGCAAATAAGGTAATTAGTTATTGATATAAAATGAGTTGAAAAGATTTAATTTTAAGATAATCAATGCATTCAATTATCTCTCATTAAATACAACATTTAAGGCATTAATTTGCATTCACCTTCATTGAATCATATATTTAAGGCTTCTTTGTTTCTTCTCATCATTAAATTCTAAAATTAAATACATACATTATAAATTAATAATTTCAATAACATTAAACTTATACTTTTAAAATCTACCTGGAAAAAGTGGTGTATTCATCTAGGTGGTGGTAAGAAATTAAACCATTTGGGTCAAATGGGCCAATCCTTGTTGCCACAATTAAACAAAAAAAAAATCAAAAATATATAAAATGCAAAAAAATATGGAAATTAAAAAATGGGAATGTTTTTAACATCATATATTTGACATACTAAACAATAATAAGTATGATAAACAATCTTTTAAAAACCGACACAGAGGCCAACCCGCTTTTGCCTTCAGGTCATAGGTCACCAGTTCAACTGTCAATGTCAAACGAGCCAAACCGCTCTGTGTCAACACTATGTGTGTGTGTAAAAATACATATTTTATCTATAAATAGTATATTTATGATTTACATATATCATAGTTATGCTTTACATATATTACATATAATATATGTATTATGTTATATTTATTTATGCTTTTTAATTCCGTTTTAAATTTAAATTTGTTTTCTAAAAAATATTAAAAACTGCAATTTGGGGCCAAAAAAGGGTTTTTTTCGCAAAAATAGCAAGGCAAGGCGCATAAAGGCCTTGGGACGTATAGGTCTTAAAAAGTTACTCGAAATTTAATTTAAAAAGAGAGAGAGAGAGAGAGAGAGATAACCCCAATCGGACATCGTTATGGCTTCCAAAAGTTTGCACATAATTAAGTGTGCAACATGCGACTTGGTTACTGGGTCGAACGGGTCAATGGTTGAACCACCCAAGTTGGATGGTTTTTAACCAAAAGAGGGAGTTTCAACAAAACCAAATATAGAATCAAGGCCGAGTGACGGTTCAAACAGTTCATTTGGCCAAGTCATCAACAAGTTGAAAACATTGATGGTAAATAAGAAATGTTTTTATTAATGATGGAAATGAAATGTAAAATTCAAAACCAATTGGAAGTAAAACTATTTTCCAATTATCTCTCATTAAATCTCATATCTAAGGTATATTCTCTTATTAAATCCTATATTTAAGACATTGTTCTCATCATTAAATTATACTAATTAAATCCACAACATAAAATTAATTTTAATAATATAAAAATAAATATTTTGAAAAATAATTTGAAAACAAAACCATTTTCTTCTCTCGCTGGTGGGTAAGCAATTCAACCATTTTGGGTCAAATCCGTTAATAAATAATGCCATAATTGAATAATAATGATAATTAAAATAAATATAATATATAATACGAAAAAATAAAAAGAACCGGGCATGTCATTAATATTGTATATTCATTATAATGAACAAAAATAAGTATGAAATGTAAGAAGTGTTTTTTGTAAATGATGAAAATGGAATGCCAAAATTAAAATCAACCTAACAATGAAATGATGTCATATTCAAATAATAACTTTTTTAAAAATAGAAAATACAAAGAATCACAAAAATAAATATTATACATAAGATATAATGTTATATATTTATAAAAAATAAAATATTGGATACATATATAATATTATACATTCATTATATTGAACAAAAATAAATATTATACATAAGATATAACCTTATCAATGGAAATGTAATACAAAATTTAATGTCAACCTAAAAATCAAACTATTTTTCTATTTGGGCCATGGGTTAGTGGTTTGAGTCAAATGGATTAATCGATGATATAATAGTTAAATAATAAATATTTAAAAAAATAAAAAAAGTACAAGTAATCAAAAGAATATATAAAAAATTAGATATTATGTCAAAACAAAAAATAAGTGTGACAAGTGAAACTTATGTATATAATGTAGATGAAAATAATTGTTAAAATAAAAACATTTTGGAGCATTTCTAATGTTATATAATCATCATGTTAAATAAAATAATTGTTAAAATAAATATTATTTTTTAAGACAGAAATGGAATACAAAATTTAGTAGTAGTAGTAATAATAATAATAATAGTTGTTATTGTAATTTAAAATTTCTACAGGTGCACATTTAGTACAAGTATTTAAGTTTATTTTTAGCCATATTGTTACTTTTATTGATTTTCAATTTCTATCCTAACTATGATATATCTAAAATTCAAGTAATTAATATGAAAAAAAATCCATACGTGCAACGCACGTGCTTAATTACTAGTATAAAAAGTATACATAATATAAAGGAATTGATTTTTAAATAGTGGTTTGGTGAAATACTCCAAGTGACCCAGGAATATTCTGGTCCAAGCGCTTCCAAGAGAAACATGTACACAAATGAAAATGTAACATGGGGGAATGTTTTTAACTGCATCGACAGAAGCTATGAAATGGAAAGAAAAACGAATGCCAAAGGAAGATACATATGCTATGAGATCTTTCAAGCTAATGAAAAGCAGATGGCATGTATACCTGAAAAGTGGGGTTTGAAAGGACGGTTGACTTTATCAAAGGTGAACACATGAATTGTAGGAGATCCAGGAGGAATGGACTCTGGAACAAAAGATACCAAACTTAAAAGATAGTCCACAAAAAAGGTGGACCATCAAACACCATCCACATCAATAGCTAATTAAGTGCTTTTGATGGTTATGGTTGAGAACGTAAGAACATAAGGTTTTGGTCCTAACAGTATATAGGTTTTTTTTTATGAATCTAACAGTATATAGGTAATTGAACAATTTTTTTCTCTCAAAAAAACAGTATTATAGGTAATTGAATAATTGGAGATCAATTGTAGAGAAAATCATTGGTCATTTGGTGTTGCCACCAAACCTTCAAATTAAGAAGTTTAAAGCTTACAAGGCATGCTTATCGTCACTTCGAGCATAGACATTAACAGCAAAGTATCTTAGTTCAAAGATAGCCCAGTATATGCAAACAAACTAGTATATGGTGACTAATCTGTTGGAGAGAAGAAACCCTTTGAACCAATTGGGATCATAATCTTTGGGTTACCATTTAATTTGCTCGAGTCATCAAGCAAATTGGCAAACTCTGTGGTAGATTTGTTGAAATAACCGATAAGACAACCCTTTGTACACTGGTGTATGCCTTTGTGCACCTGAGGTTCAGCTTTTAAAACAATGGGAAAGGATTGGCAAAGGGGAGAATCTCCACACAAATGATCCTCCCAAATTATAACCCAAGTTTGAGACAAGGAGTAATACTTGATCAATGTTTTAAAAGACGAGGGCGTGACGCGATGCGTTCCACTACCTAGAGGCATGAGGCGTAGTTCAAAACGCAAGAGGCGTAAGCCTCCTTAAGAGGAGAGGGATTAAGAGGAAGATGAAGAGGAAGGGGGCATCTCATTTTTTTCTTTATTTTTAATAAAAGTCTTTTATATTAAGAAGAATAAAGATGCATAACATTAGTTGAAAGGGAGGGTCTTGTCGTCGCGGAGGCAATCAAGCGAAGCAAGCAAAAAAACAAATTGGGCTGCATCAAAAAGGGTGTGGGGATCTAGGGGGTGAAGCCCTCCGACCGAAGGGGCAAGGGGAAACCACTTTCTTTCCCCTCATCTTTTCTTTCCTTTTCTCTTTTTTTCTTCTCTTTCTTTTTCTTTCCCTTCCCTTTCTTTTTCTTTCCTTTCCTTTCCTTTCCTTTCCTTTTTCTCTTTTTTCTTTTTTTTTGTCTTTTTATATAAGATGTGCATGCGCCTCATGAAAAAAGCGCAAGAGGCATACGCCTCAGAGGTGTCAGCGCTTCTGGCATACGCCTTAGGGCATTTTGGGAGCGCCTCGCCTAGAGGCGCCTCCAGGCGTACACCTCCCACGCTTTTTAAAACACTATACCTGATATGTTGGGAGAAAATAAGTAGTGGCATAGCTGGTTTCAAAGGACTTCAAGAGTGTTATTTCTATTTACAAATGAACTCCACCCTTTGGAGTCCATGCCAAATTTCTCAAACCCAGAAATTCTCCACCATTAGACCTAGGAACTTTTCTAACCCTAACTTCACATCCCAAAAGACCTATATAATCCCTTCAAGAAATCCCTAAGATATTGATATTACAATAGTTGCATCATATAATTCCGCACCACATTTTCAACAGCTTAACCAGGAGTAAGGTTCCTAGAGCTCCTATTGGGGTTAGCTAGTTAATTTTCTTAACACCAGCCTCCAGTTTGTATGCTCCTTAGTGCGTGCTCCTTACATATAGCCTTTATGGGTTATCCTTTGGTCCTTCCTTGGATGAATAACTCCGTGTTCTCCTTTACTTTTTTTTTTTTTTTGAATGATGAATGAGAGTGTTCCCCTTTACTTTCCTCCAATAGATTCCTTTTTCACTCATAAAAATCAGCGTTTTAGTAACAAAAAATGACACAAAATTCAGGATTTGAAATAAAGAATGCAAAAGAATTCTAACCTAACATAGACAAATTAAATCACTAACCTTTGTGCATTCCCTGTGTTTGAAGCATCACCATAACCTCCACGACCTGAATCCCAATCTGCAAAAAATACATAATGAAGTATAGTCCGAGCTCAACTGTGACAACAAGAGGAACCTAGGTCAACAGTTCATCTACAAGTTGAAAATTGAAAACCAGTGAATAAATATGCACCTGACTGCTTAAATAGGATGTCACACCCATATTAAGCTCATTGCTTTATAAAGGTATTAGATACAAAAATGTGTGGCAACGGTGTACACATTAATTTCAAAACAAAAAACCAATTATCTCAATAAAGGCATTTGTTTACATTTTAGGTACTAGAATAGCTTATATAGCTGAAACAAAGATATACATACTTTTTTTTTATAAGTAAAAGATTCTTTAAAATTTCAATAATCAGTAATGATAAGCAATTGTTACAAGCTTCCCCAATAGAGGCACAAGAAACAAAGATATAACACATGCAGATGTCACCCAGGACTGCTATTTATCGCAAAGAGAACTCTTGACTCTGAAAAGTTTTAGGATTCCAAAGTCAATAATGAAAGTGAAAAGCTTTCATAGCTTAGCCACATTTTTAAGGCGATTCATTAAGAATTTTAGCATTGCCATTGCCAAGTGACTGATTGCATGAAGTCCACAAGCTTTGTTTGAATAAATGAAGCTAAAGATAGCTTCAATCTAATCATGAAAAAGCTCACTAAGGCACCCGTTCTGGCCTTACCTAATTTTGAAGAAGTAATTGAAGTAAATGTAATGCATCTCACATAGGAATTGGAGCTATCTTAAGTCAAAATGGATACCCAATAGCTTTCTTCATTGAGAAGCCGTATGAAGCTAAGAAACACTATTTTGCCTATCACATTGATGTTTATGCTATAATACAAGCTTTAAGGTTTTGGCATCACCACCTCATTCACAAGAAGTTTGTACTATTCTAACCACAAAGCTCTTCGTTTTCTAAGTACCCAAACAAAGATCAATGCCAGACAAGCTAAGCGGGTTTCCTACTTCAAAGAGTATGCATTTGCAATTCATCACAAGTACTAAGAATAAAGTAGCCAGTGCACTCGGTCAAAAGATTTGTCTTCTGAAAACTTTATCCTCTAAAATTAGATTTGATCTTTTACCTGAAAAATTATGGGACCGACCCTTGCTTTCGTGAGATATGAAAGGTATGCAAATTTGGGCAAAATGATAAATTCAATATTTTAAATGGTTACCTCTTTAAAGGAAACCAACTTTGACTTCCAAAAGGAGTCCCTAAGACTACATGTCATTAAAGAACTACATGATACCATGATGGAGGAAAAGGTGGCCATTTCGGAAGAGATAAAAACCACTGACAAGGTTTATGAGCATTACTTTTGGCCCAAATTAAACCAGGATTTAGAGTGATTTATTCAATGATCAATTTACCTGAAAACATTCAAAAGGAGAAGTTAAATGATCAATTACCTGAAAACCCACTTTGATAACCACCAGATGATCGATTCATATACCGACCATGAGTCCTTTCATCAGTATATCCAGGTCTGCCCCCACCGGTACCACGATCATATCCCCCAACATAATCATATCCAAACCTGCATAATCATATCCAGACCTGCATATCTTAACAATCGAACAATATCTAAACAACATTTGCATAGACAGCATTTATTCATAAATAACAGAAGCACTGCTTACAAATGCAGAACCACAAAACTTATACAGGACCATTAACAGTCCCCAAAAGACTCTTTTTCACAAATTGACAAATTAACAAATTTAGGAACTGGTGGTCATAGCATATGATCGACTGTCACAGCATCATGAAAGAAAAAAGTTCACACAACAGCATCTTTTCTTTTTCTCTTCATTATGTGTGCACATTGTACACCTTCAATCTTTTTCTTTTTCTTGTGTGTGCTGGCACTTGTATATGTATGTGCTTATGAGATAAGACTGGAAGTAATTACAGAAAGAGGCATTTACAGAAAGAGGCAGGGAACATTAACTTTCACCCCTAAAAAGAAACATGAGACTGCATTCCGCTTCTCCCACAAATCATTTGTTTCTTCAGTGATAAGAAATAAATTGCACTGAATCAGCAGTTGCACAAAACCCAATTTACCATAATCTATTTCCGTATATCCCAATATATGGATCCTTGGTATACATGGGCAGCTTTATAAGTCATTCACATAATATTAATACAACAATTATACTTTTACCTTTTAAAAAGATAATAGAATGATTGGAAAGATTCCACAAGAAAAAATAGCGACTCTCAAGTTGCAGATGAACTACATCTGGATAACTGCAATTATTCAAACATTTGTTTTTTTATAGATATTACTCAAACTATATTATTAGGTTCTGGTGATAAATAAAAGCAGTGTTTTTTTATAGATATTACTAAAAGATTATCAGCTTTAAAACCACATTACAGTAAGAAGACATCCATCAGCTTGGAGAAGCAGAACCTAAATTCATTCACTACCCTCTTATAGATCCCCAAGAGTATGAATACAATTATGCAGAACCTAAAAGCCAGCAAATCCTATCAATTTGCACCTGCCATGCCAATAACCTCTTATTGATTCCCTAATTGCTGAAGTGACAGCACAATGAGAAACAATAAGACATGTAGATATGGTGGCAAGCCATTTATCCCTTGAACAGTGATGTAGTTGTGTAGAAACTAGAATTATGAACTGTCATAATTTGTAGATTAGTAATTTTTAGCACATCATTACATTTGAGTTATTTTCATACTTGAAATCCATTATTGGATTAACAATCCCTTTATGTCTACAACACTGTTTTTTATTGATAACCAAGCATACATTGCTTAGTTATATAAGAATTATACATTCATTCTACAACACTGTTTTTTAGTTTAAAAGAAAAAAAAAATGAATCTTCATTAATAAAGTAAACTGTTAGAGTCTAACAGAAAGAGTGATCACCGATGAGAAGAACCCCTGATCTGCCATAAAGAAATGATGTTTTGTTTTGCTCATGTAAGTTGAGAGAGGCATAGAAGAAGAGGTTATCATGGCTTCCCATAAGCCTATTTTTTATGGGTTTTCCCCTAAACCCATTACTTATGGGTTTCCCCTTAACTCATTTTAGAGTTTTTTCTTTATCAATAACCCATTTTAGAGTTTTCTAGACTGAAAATTGGTCAGTTATCATGCCCTTACATCCTTTTACCTTACTTATACAATATCATATAATTTAGCTGCAGTACAACTGAAATTTTTATGAGACCGGATTTCCTAAAAGCAAAAGCCATGCAAACACTCTGCGAGTCCAGCATCCGGTTGCACACAACTTTTGCTTTCAGGAGATCCAGGATCAATCTTTACACCTCTCATACAGACATACCAAGACTGTAAATTCCAGTCCGAATCTCCTAAACTTGAAGCTCTGTCATAAGTTGTATACTAACCAATGAGAATTCATCAAAATTCACAGTGGTGGTTTTGATTGGTAAGACTGTCAGAAGTGAGATATCCGACTATCATAACTACCCTTTCTCACTTATAAGAGTCTGACCAATGAAAGCCAACCCCATGAATTTTTACAAATTCCCATTGGTTAGTTTACAACTTAGCATAAAGGGTTGAGCTTAGGAGATCCAGCATATGTAAATTCTTACTTATCAGTTATGTGATTTCATGTATATATGAGCTAAGAACCAGCTTCTAGATATTGAGTATTTACATAAACTGAACTATTTCAAACCACACTAGTGCACTACGCACATGCAAATTGCAGCATGGGCTTGTCAGTATGTTCTGTTTGCCAACTCTTTAACCAATATTCTGTTTGTCAAATTATTATGCAAAACACTCATGGTTATCAAAGCCTCAAGCGATTATGGGTATCAGTGGACGCCTAGCCACCTAGGTGATAAGAAATTTATAAAATAAAAGGCTGAATTGGTTAGTAAAAAACAAGGGTGGAGCTGTTGTTTTATTTAATGTAAGAAAGCAAGGAAATAGTAGAAACAAAAAACAATAATAAACTCTTTTTACTGCTGTTCTTTCTTTTTCCCTTCACAAAACTCTTGGATCTCTTAAACTTCAATAGTAAAACTTTAGATATAAACGATATGCATGGTTAGAATAGAATGTATTAAGATGTGGTGACATTAATCATATTATAATAAGACACCCAACTTATGATCATTGTCGCCTAGGCAGGCACCTAATCACCTAGATGGGCGCCTAGTAACCTAGGCAACGCGGCAACTCCTTGGAAACTTTGCACATAATATTTATGTTCAACCACATGGACTGGAAAAGAACTAGGAAGAGATGAAAAGACCCATCCTTCAAGAACTTAACAGGAGGATATGGATAATAAGACAGAGGAGTAACCCATCTATGAGCCTAAACCCCACTGCTGATTGACCTGTATTAGAAGCTTCACACAAGGGAGAGAGAGGATGGGGAAGCATCATAATGAAATCCTCTAAGTAAAGAGCCCTCTCTACCACCACAAAACATAATATGGTCAATAGGATAGAAGAAAGACCCCTTGTATCTTGGTATCCAAACTATACCTAACCTCCAAATTCAAATTTATTTCTTTAGCATCCACTTGGATAAGAAAGAAGCAAGTATCACAAAAAAAAAAAAATGTAGAGAAGCACCTCCAAGTTTTTCCCTACAAAAGATCCAGGCCTTGAAAGATGGGCAATAACCATGTGGGGGCTTTGCAAAGTTCAACAGCCAGAAAGAAATTCCATTCTACAGGATTTGAGTTTCAGCAAGAAGAGCACATGCCAGCAAGAAGAAATCCGCATATGAAGCACGAAAGCCAAAGACGAATTCCAGGTAAATCACTCCCATTCTTATCCATGCTTCCAAGGTACATATAGATTGTAAATATGACCCTAACAGTGGTTCTGTCGTCGCTGGTGAAACTCCCCAAAGAACCAAGAATTAATCGATCAATTACATGAACACACCTACTGAGCTACCTTTTTCCTCTTAACTGTAATCAAAATGCCTCTAATTCCCCGTCACTGCAATCCCCCTCGAAATATTAGACCATATAATGCTATCAACATAGCTCCAAGAGACGTAAACCTAAATTCTTTGAGACAAAAGCCTCGAATCGAATAAGAAACTGCCATCGTTCTGAAACACAAATAACAGAATGACAACGAGAATGACAACCACTCACTCACCTTCTATCGTCCGGTCCAAAGCCACCACCCCTAGGGCTTCCACGGCGGCCATCGTAACCACTATCATCTCTCCTTGAGCGCTTGAAAGGCGGTGGTGGAGGAGACCGCCGAGGAGGAGAATGGCGCCTGTCACGATAAGGAGGACTAGGACTATTTCGACGTTTGTAATCCCTATCCCTCTCCTTTGGCGGAGGAGAGCGGTTCCGGTCGTGGTAATCGACGCCACCACGGCGGTTAGGAGGACGATCGATGTCCCTGTCGTCACGTCTCTCCCTAGAATCTCTGTCCCTTCTCCTCGACGGGGGAGGAAGCGGTGGTGGAGGTGGAAGGTCGTCGTCGTCGTTCGATTTCTCTTTCCTCTCGGACTGGCGATCGCGACGGCGATCGATAGATTCGACGGGCATGTTCATCACTTCTGCCATTAATAGAAAATCAAAAACCAGTTGAGGACGAGAAAGCTTGAAACCCTAGGAACCGCGAAGAGTGAACGAATCGGCTCACGGCTGGAACAAAAATTAGTGTTCAATTGGAAAGAGAATGACTCAAAGAAGCTAGCTGCCGTGAAAATGTGAGCAGGCGGAGATGTTTGTTTCGTGCATTTTATCCCTACTTGGAAATATGCACGTGAAATTTAAAACATTAATCTTTAGCAAGGGTGTGTTTGGTATGATTGAGTTGCGTGCCCCTTTTTATTAGGGTTGTCAATGGGTCGGGTCTACTCGATAGAAATAGAACCGAACCAATTATGTTGGTTCTGGTTCTGGTTCTGGTTCTGGTTCAGAGTTTTATCCCGTTGGTTCTGATTCAGAGTTCTTCATTATGTGTCCTGATTATTATTGGTTGGGGACCGGTCTTAGCTGTCCCAAACCGATTAAATATCATAACATTTATGATATATTAATGGTATTTTACGTACTATCAATTATAGTAGATGTCTAAAATTGTCCATCTAATAGAAGTTCTTTAGGCTATATTTGGTTTGAAGGAAAATGTAGGGAAAGGAAGGGAAACCAATACAAGGTTTGTAAATGTTTCCCTTCCTTTCCCTCCTTTCCCTACCTTTTCTTTCAAACCAAACATAGTCTTAATGAAATTCTATGCACCCCTAAACCCTTTCGCTTTTCACTATTTCTATTATTCACTAGCAGTTCTAAACCCTAAACTATTCTCATCTCATCGGATGCCCGCCCACTAAGGGAGACACATACGCCAAAACCATACACCACTCACAAAACTTTGAGATGTTGCAGTTGTAGGTGATAGGCACAACACCAAATTTGCTTGTTGGGAAGTGTAGTCACGGCATCTATGCAGAAAATGCAATAATATAAAGAACGGTAGTGGCAATTAACCATCAATTAGTGATTTTTCTTCTTGAACCACAACAAGAAATAACCATCTGATCTGAGCTATGGTTTTTTCTTCTTAAATCCCCACTGTATTTTGTTTTATATCGATTGCTTTTTCTTCTTGAACGGCAGAAACATGTTGTAGCGGCAGGTAGCACTTTGAGTTGTGTTTTATTCCTATGTGATCTTTTTTTTTCTTTTGGTACATGGGGATGCTTAACGGCCCAATCATAGAGGGTTATCATTGCCTCTTTGCCTAAGTTCCTATTTACAACACTACCAAGTATTTTATACATTCAATTTGACTCCAACAGCCATTAGGGCAGCAGATTCAATTGCAGACTTGCAGCTTTACCTCTTAATCTTTGAAGGAAAACCCTCTGAATTGTTCTTATCGTGCCAAACCCAATTAGCCCGATTAATAACCGGATCGGTTATAGGTTCCAAACTATTGTTCCAGTAGGGTCTGATTCGGGACCAGGAAAACCTAATTTCTTGTTGGTTCGGAATAATTTCATCATGTCACGAATTAGACCCTAATCATTGACTGCCTTACTTTTTATATGACTCATCGACTCTACCATATCATCACCACTAGAGGTTATTCGATTCATCAAACCATCTCGTCTCGAGTGACGTGAAAGTCTGCTCTTAAAAGAAAGGGCAAATTTTTTAAACTACCCATATTGTTTAGCTAATTGACAAACAATACCCTCACTATTTAACTATTGTCGTACCCCTAAGCTTTTTGACAATTGACTAACTCTATCCCTGTCGTTAGTGTCCATTAATGTTTCGTCAAAATCCGTATACACGTGACACTACATGACATATCATTTTTTTTAAAACCCAATACTACCCTTCATCCCTCTTCTCTCACTTCCTCTATTCCTTCTCTTCAACCTCTCTTCTTTGACTCAAGTGTAGCGACAGCTCCCTACCAGAGGTGATGCACAAGGTTGGACCTCGGTCTCGCCAGAATCTTCGTTGTCAGGTACAGCTAACGACCTCGGTCTGGACTGCTTCCTATTTCTAACAATGTTTTCAAGAACAAGTGTTCATAAGGCCTCACCTGAACCAAGTGTTTGTCTAAGGGCCACCTCCTCTTTATGAGAATTGTGCCAAGGTTGTTGGTGCTACTACAATGGCAGATCCCAAAATTGGTCACACTATGGGTAGTGGAAATTTGACTGTGGCGTCTCTTTAGGCATAGCCTAGGCTTACTCAGCTTGTTTGTGTGGCGTTGGTGGGCCTGCCCTTAGTATGATGCAGCCTTAGATATCACGACCACCTTATGAATCTTTGAGCTAACGATTTCGAACATAAACTAAAATTTTGTGATGTCGGTGTGGAGGGGCCCGCTTTGCAGTGACAACGAAGATACAAGAGAGAGAGAGAGAGAGATAGAGAGATGTACCAAAAATAACAATTAGAGGATTAGTAGTTTATAAGAATCGCATATAAATCAATAATCTTAATGGAAATGTCCAAAAGCAAAACTCTAGGGATTTGGCTAGATGGTGAGTGGGGATAACATTTGTCTCATATTTCTTGTTTGTTTTAGTGAATTCAAACTAAGCAGTTAGAAATTGAACAATCTAATGAAATGGAATAAGCGGATTTAGGAATGGAAGACAGTTAATTGGAGAAATAACCTGCTGGGGTGAAGTTGAGTCAAGATCTTTGTGCAGAGGAATAACCAGCGGTGGGGGACAACCATATGAGACCACACCACGAAGGAAGCCGGCGAAGGCAAACCTGATAGCCATGGCCAATGCCAGCAAAGGCGAACTCAGAGGTGGATGGGTCCATTGTAGCGGCGATAATGAAACATGGGATAGATAATGAAGGGGAAGAAGGGGATATTATATATATATATATATATAGAGAGAGAGAGAGAGAGATAAATAGAAAAAGAGAGAGAGAGAGAGATGGCAAAGAAGTTCTTTCCCTTTGACTCAACAAATGGGAAGCCCTTGTCGCTACAAGAAATCGAAAGACTTATGTTGTTTGAGCAGTGTTCAAGGGCTTAGAGTTTTTGACGATAAGGCACGGTCTTCAAGGGCTCATAGTTTTCAACAAGGAAGAGCAACTATGGAAGTGCCTAATGAGGCAAGGTTCTTGAATGCCTATGGAGAACTTTCGGAATCTTTGCTATCATACACCATTGACAACTTTCCCACTCTTGAGGCTCTTTAGAAACACCAGGGCAATAGTCTCCTACTGAGGCATGACCATCAGTGACGCCCTGATTCCCTGGTACGGGTTAAGGCATGGAAGATCAGGAGGATGAACGCTATAATGGTTCTCTTCCACCGCCAACACCGACACCCAATTCCCCTTGGACCCATCCCTGCCACCGCGGTTCCCCTTGAAGCATATCCATATGAATACCACCCAGTAGACTAGTAGAGAACTAGGTTCTCTACAGAAACTCTCCCATAATTTGTTTTCAATAAGAATTTGACATTTCGTTGGGTTTTATCACATGGTTTTATTTTGAGGAAGCTTTCTTGAATGAGATGGGAATTTGTGGAACAGTAGAGGGTAAACTTGATATTTCGTCGTTTTTCATTAGAACTTGCCAACAATGTCAATTATTATAAACAATAACGATACTTTAAGACAATATGTAAATAGTAAGGGTAGAGTTAATCAATTAGCTAAATCATAAGGGTAGTTTACGAAATTTGCCCTAAAAGAAATATCATTTAGACATTTCTTGTTTGAGGTGATGTGTGGCATTTTCTCTTACGTGGTGCCTAGTGACACTTATGTATAATAGACCAATGCTATCTTGTAGGTTATATTCAACCTATCATCTTCATGATTTTATTACACAATTGGGGGGAATTACAAAGAAGTTGTGCAATTAGAAGTAAAACCATAAGCATCATATAGGCAAATAAATGCCAAGTTACTATCATTTATATAAGGGTTCAAAGAAGCTTTGTGATGTTCCAAGCTTGTCAATCTATCCATAGCTATATTTGCTTTTCTCAACATATGTACATTTATAATGTTTAACTCATTGCATCGTTTAATGTCTATGCAGACTTTGATGAAGTTGTTGATGTTCCACAGGGGCTCCATCCTTCCACATAGGTAGTTGATAATAAGACCATAATCTCCTTCGATGACAAGTTTATGTTGAGGAAACCTGCAAGCAATTTTGTGGGCCTCAATGGCCCCCCTAAGCTTCAACTTCATTTATTGAACACTCTCCTACATCCCTGCAACTATACCATAAGGCTTTACCAAACTCATCTCTCATAATAGCTCCTAACACACATTTTTCATTTGTCTTTAGAGATGCATCAAAGTTTATTTTTAATTCCCCGTTAAGCGATTTCACCTAGTCCACTAATAAATTTACCTTATCCTTTTTCCCTTGTTTATACAAACAATGGATGTTGGTAAATTCATATAGATTAGCTCTAATCCCCCCTCCCCATTATGGAATGGGGAATGTTCTTATTATTTTATTTTTGTTCTCATTTCTCCTTTTCTTAATATTTCAAAGGGTAAACCCCACATTTTCCATCATAAGGTTTTGTGTGGTATTAATGTGTTCTTATCCTATTCCACCACTCTAACAACTTTTCATTTGAGATCAAAATGAGGCTAATATCCCCCAAAGCATCCCAAATAAACCTTGAATCCCGGTGGTTGGGGAAGAGGTGTTCTACATATTCTTCTTGACCACATAATGGACATTCAACTTTAGTTCTTAGTCCCTAGTTCCTTAGTAGTGCTTTTGTTATAGTTTTCATTTTTAAGCACAGGTAAAGGAAGAAAATATCCTTTTGGGAACAGTTCAAACTCCATATATTTCCTAGATCCCCCATAGGAATTAGTGTGATCCCAATCACCTTCCATTAGCCTATAAGTTGTCTTAATCTAGTACCTACCTTTAGGATCAAGTTTCCAAATCATGGTATCACATCCACCCCTAATTTGGACGGGGATAGTTATGATTTTTTTTCCGTCTAATATTTTTTATTTATCCCACATATTTTATTCATTAATAAATTCACACACCTTTTGATTCCAAATATCATGGCTTAAATCTCTAGTACTTTGTAGATAGGAAATTCCCACCCAAATATCATTCAAGGAATCGATAAACTGACCATTACCCAATTTCCATCAAATTCCCTACTTAAGGGTATCTTTGATTTCAACAATGCTTCTGTAGGCCCAAGAGATGTTATATTTTGGGTTGATAAGCCAAAAAAAATGATCAATTTTATAT